AGGTATTGGGAGACTGGTTTCCAAACTAGGTAAGAACCTGTGATATGGACTCACAAAATTGGTTATTGTTAAAAATTCTCACATTACTACTGGAAATATTTCAGAATAACATGTAATTAAGCGTTACATAAATTAGAGGCGTTAATAAAACGTGTAATTACTTTTAGTTTCCCACTCAACACTTTTAACAAGTGGAATACATCCCACAAATTAGACAATGTGTTTTACTTATACCATGCAAAAAATTGAAACAAAAACATTGTTAATAAAATATGTTACAAGGTTAATGAATTCGTCGGCGCATGAGGGTAAATTTTTTACGGAACGTCACGAAGATGTGCAGCGTTTTTTGTCGAAGAAAAGGGAGAGAGCGATTGAGACTGATTGAGAGACAGTGAGAAAGGCAAATTACCTTATAGATATTGAAATCTCAAACGACAAAATGAATAAATAAATTAAATGTATTATTCGTATTACTTTTCGACACTTTTAATATTTTAATGACAATTAAATTACTAAACTATCTTCCGTATGCACGCACTTTTTTTTGTAATATATGAACCATAAACCGTGGATGAGTCTTACGAAAAACACTAAAAATAGGGTAAAGAAAAGCGTTCCATATTACCATAGGAACTCACTGGACAGGAGAAATGAATTTATGTCCATTAAATCATACAGTTGGCGATTTTTTTTTAGTTTATTCCGTTTCTATCTTATGATTTTCCGCACTAGCTGTAGGTATGTTATGAGTGTACCGACTTCACACGGCTGAAGATTATTATTTTGTCTGTAGCATTCTAATAGTGAAAGGTTTTTGATTAGTAGATTTTAAATGAATTTCAAACATACAGAAATATTACAGGAAACTTCATTAGTATCTCTCTCTTTAATTGGCAGCTCATGTCAACCTAACACGATCAGTTTCTCCAACTTCTCATCACCTCTGCGTATTGTATGGCCGAAATAAGATACAATTCGCTGTCGGCATATAGTATAGATATAGGCAATTATAGTAACATATTGTTTGATTACTATATCTTTATGGCTTAATTGTTAACAAATAAATCTCCATAGACAGACATAACATTTATTACATACGAAAATATGTCTATGTATCTCCAGAGAGTTGGTTTTAGTTTAGGTCTATGCCGCGTGCATTGGAGATATAGGATTATTTAAAATCCACGCTAAAATACTTGCATGTTACCTTCTCATAAAATATTGTATCCTTTCCATCTCACCTATTTCCAATACGAGTTAGGGGCCATCAAGAAAAGAGCGTACCATTGATAGGTCGGCAACACACTCGCTAGCCGTTGCAGATGCCAATGGGCGGCGGTTATCACTTCATTCAAAGTGACCCTGCTCGTTACCCTCCTGTGCCATAAAAAAATATACGTGTACCTTATAATACCTTAGTGAAACAGCTAGGTACCGCTAGACCCTGGGTATCGTGTCAACGGGGATCATCTATCACAAATTATCAACGGCCGTCATTACCTGATTCACAGGTAAGACTGCTTTCACACTTGAAAGGTTTTTTAACCATTAAAACGCGTAAACTATTTTAGTTACAGTGAAATCCGTTTAAAAAATCATTTTTTTGTACTGACGTATTAGTTTTTTAGGTCTAACTGTTGCAATTACTAACTCCCGGAACACGTTTTTGACATATGGAAGTCATACTTAGCGCTGTCTCGTCTCTGAATAACCCAACAGTCTGGTATATTTGAATTATTTGATAGCCAAAGACATTGTAACAATATTAGCAGACCCGATTACACAAGTCTTAATACAAAAAACATCTAATTGTAAATCAAAGCGTGTTTTTTTTTTTTAATATATATATTTTTGTATATTTTCTGTCCGCGATGGAAGGCTGGTGACAGTAAAGCCCTATTATAAGCACCAGCCTCTTACAAAGATGGATAATACCGGCAGGAAAATAAAATTTATTATTATTATATTATATAGATTAGGCCTCTGTGACGTCATTCCTTTATTCGTCATTTCAATTATAGGACATCGAATTTTATTATATTTCTTTTCAATATGTAGTTTTTTAATATATGACAAAAATTTATGTGAAAACGCCTTTACATTTTAATGTTCTCTGGGAATAAATTTAATTCCGACTCCCGAACTCACGCGCATCTCGCATTATCTATTACATTTCCGCGTCTAAATCACTAATATCGCTTATTTTAAATTACTTCGCTTATTTCACAATCCAAGTTGTTTATAAACAACTCACCGAAATGAATTGTTATTGAATTCTCATATTATATGATGTACCTAGAGTACCTACCTACCATAGTGTTTTTCATTCATTACTGCGGTTCAACTCCACATATTTAATTTCTATAAACGCATCCGCGACTTTTTGTTTTTCTTTCTCAGACCTCAAGAGAAAGCTCGCAGGACATAAATTTTGCGCTAATGAAGAAGTAATCGCCGAAACCGAAGCCTATCGGACTATAAAACGGTATCGAAAAATTGTCGGACCACTTTTGTTGTATCGCTAACGAAGGTGATGAACTATCTTAACCTACGAACTTTTCAGCTCACCTATTACTACATATATAGAAAATTCAAATATCACTGCAATTCTTCAATAATCTCATTTGCGTTGCAAAAAAGTAACAGGCGTTTTTTTTAAATATTGATTAAAATATCCTGTTATGCGGTTATTTAATTAATTTTTCTTTGAATTTCAGATAATTGTATTTGTCTAGTAAAGTGAAATACAATACGAATTGTATATATTAACCGTTCGCAGTCATAAACGGGTAGCATCTCAAATAGTCCATAACTTTCAATTAAGGAGGGCTCATGAAATTTAACATTGGAATTGCCCAACCGCTACAATAATTCGAATTCAATACGAATCCACAAAATGTGCACATTCAAAGCCTGGCAATAACATTTTACGACATCACCGCAGTCTGCCAGCGGCCGATAGCTGAACTAATAATATAAATTCAAGTTACATCAATTTGTCCTAGATGGCGCTGTTCTAAATACAATTAATGGCAAGGGTTAGGGGATATTTTCATTTATTGCTTTTTATTTGGTCTGAGGGCGTTTCATTTATTTCATAACCATGTAATATGATCGTTTTCATTGTCTAGAATCGTTGCGCAGTAACAATTATAGCCCGTTTTATACTTATTGCCGTTTTAATGACTTGGCGTGCTGCGAGTGGCTGCGGCCCGCCCGGGGCTAATTCCTCAATTATTTTAATGAGTCAAATGGACCATCATATTGTTTTATAAGCAACAAAATTGTTATTACAAAGGTCGTGACTGTATAAAAATTTGGGTACTATCGCATTTAAATCCGTCAAAGTAGTGTTATTTGAATAAAATACGTACAAAGATAATGTTGGTATAATATGTTTATTATTTTGAATTGAAAAAAAAGATACAAGATCTTTGTATTTTTGCTATCAATAACAATGTGACGAGTATTTAATTTATATTATAGTAGGTATTATATAGCCATATAGGTATATTTACACTAGGATATAATATATATATTTCGGTTTTGTATGCAATTTATTACCAATAAAGTGTTAAATGAAAAAATATGATTATTGATTATAATAAATATTATTAATTAATATAATTTATTACCTAAATATCTTAATGTTTTTAATTTCATTCCTTATTTTTAGGCAAGATTGGTCGCATAGTAAATTGCTTCAAAATTACTTGCGTTCTCATATTATAATTTAAGTTTCTCATGATTTTTGTCACGAATGGGATACCGCATCCTGTCTCTAAGTATTTTTAAATTTATGTTTAGCAGCTTTTATGTCTCACGATTTTTTTGTGTCAAAAATAAATGGCCTTATCGCGTCCACATCAATCATACATAACAGATTTTATTGTAATTTCATCAGAAACTATTACTTAAATTATGATTGATTGTTATATTTTTCAGTGGTTCTTTAGTTTGGTTGACGTAGAAAAAGTCTTATAATTACTTAAGGATACTGTAAAATGCTGATATGAAATTGATAACTTTTTATACATTACTTTCACCACCGGCCCCGATAGTTACATACCCCAATGCTAATTGCATTCCATTTAGAACGGGCATTACCTTAAATATTTTAATATGCACAAAAATCTCCAGTAGGTATATTATTTTAATAAATCAAATAAGAATTAGTAGTATGTAAGACAAGATCTATCTATAAAAACAAGGTATTATTATTATTATTAAAGCTTTATTTAATCCATACAACAATTGGTTAGTTTACATACCTTAATATTAGTATTAGTTAAGTAAGTATGAGTTTTAAACAACATTTAAGTTAGATTTATTTTTAATTTTTTAGTGGTCTAGTTTTTGTATAAAAGGTAGGTTTTAGGGTAAAAGCCTCCTCCATATTTTTCCATTTCTCTTTGTCTTGAGCAACATTCATCCAGTTTTCCCCCGCTAGTTTTACAATGTCATCTGGTCAAAAACAAGGTAACTATAATAATACTATTTATTTGTGATAAAGCTTTCATAAGACAGTATTATACCGGGAAAATATCATGCGTAATTATGCAATTGTTTTCATAATACCACATTGAAAAATATTGAATTCTCAAAGAATAAATATTTCATCGGAATTTAAACTATAAAAACTCTTGGAACAATTACAATGCATCAACATTGTTGTTGTTTACAAACGAAAGAATACCAATCGCACAAGCGTTCATTGCGTTTTGTCTCTGTGAACGTCGCGATTGTTTTTGTAGTTGGCTTATTGAATTAATGCTAAATTCCTACATATTAAAACATAACAGTCAATGCGATTAAGCAAGACTAATGTTTTAATTAAACGTTAAAAGAGAAGATTCCATTGACTTAGTGTTTTACCTAAATTTGAACAAACATTTATATGATATGAAAAGAAAGCGAAAGTGGAGAATGAAATCATAATAGCAGAAATACAAGCATTTAATGAGTAAGTGATTGAAGCATATTCTGAATAAAATGCAATGACATCAGCTGGTAACATAACTGAAGACCTGTGTAAAATATGTGACGGAAGAATTGAATGTGCACCCACGGCTATACTTCTAATCGCTTTAGTTCATACTCTATACGGGCATTTAGGGCCTGAAATAGATTATTTTGGAAATAATAAAGAGGAACTCACGGGTTCTCAACAAAAATTAAAAGTCTTACCAAAACATCGCTATAAATATGTAGAAAATGAGGAGCGAAATGAGAATTCCGACATCGGTGATGAAGAGTTCGATTTTATAGTGATTGGTGGTGGCACAGCTGGTTGTGTACTTGCCAGCCGACTCTCCGAAAATAGGAAGTGGAAGGTATGTAAAGCGTTATGTTAGGCAATAAAATATAGTTATTATTTAACTCAAATTTAATATCAACTTTATGACAAACTTCTGTTTCATCATAGACACTGCTTATAGAAGCCGGAGTTGAAGAACCTAAAATGACACTGATTCCTGCACTCACAAGTGAATTTCAGGGTTCATCACTTGACTGGCAATACGCAATGAGACCCAAAAAGGGGTAGGTAAAAAATAATATATAATTCAAATACATAATATAATTATATCTTCTTAAACCACTTATTGTATTTAAGATTTTGTCAGAACCGTATGGAAAAAGGCTGCGAAATAATACAAGGCAAGGTACTTGGCGGAACATCGTCAATTAACGAAATGGCCTACATAAGGGGCAGCCCTGCAGATTACGATGAGTGGGCACTTAATGGCAATGAAGGGTGGAGCTTTGCGCAAGTACTACCTTACTTTAAATACTCTGAGGGGAATTACGACAAAGACATATCGAAAAACAAATTCTTCCACTCGACTCAAGGACCTTTAGATGTAGGACGTTATCCTTATGTGGACGATAATGTGGACGTTTTACTAAGCGCGTTTAATGAGATGGGATATAACTATACAGATATCAATGGAAGGACACAAATTGGGTTTATGAGGATACAGACTATGTCTTATTTTGGTGAAAGAGTGAGCACGTACACAGCCTTTATAGAACCTATACGTAAGCTTAGAAGTAACATCGTAATTTTGACAGAAGCATTAGTCACTAAAATAATTTTTGAAGATTACAGAGACAGTTTAAGAGCTGTTGGTGTAGAATATATTAGAAATGGCACGAAATTTAAGATAAAGGCGTCTAAAGAAGTAATTTTAAGTGCCGGTGCTATCAACTCACCTAAGTTGCTTATGCAATCTGGAATAGGTCCTAGGGACTACTTAGAATATTTAAACATACCGGTGTTGTATGATTTACCGGTTGGTGCCAACTTTCAAGACCACGTAGCAGTATGTTTACCAATTATTAAACTAACTAGAACTGCAACTACCACAAAATTTACAGAAAAATTAAAAGACATTACAACATATTACACAAAAGGACTTGGACCGCTGTCGGCAAATTACCAGGTTGTAGCTTTTATGGAGTCGAGTATATCAGAGATTTTGGGAACACCAGATATTGAGTTTCGTTTTAGAGGTCACGATTCAAACATGTATTATAATAAAATGGATATGTGTATTTCCCTATTAACACCTAAAAGCAAAGGTCAAATAATACTAAATGCAACAGACCCCGTCTTTGGTACACCTTTAATATACCCCAATTTCCTTAAGGATCCTTCCGATGCAAAGAAGTTATTAGAAGGCATACAAGAAATAGTTAAACTGTTTGATACAGAAGTATTTAAAACAGCTGAATACGAGTTTGACCCAAAACCAATTTTAAACAATGAATGTAGGAATCACGAAAGAGTTTCTGAGGAATTTTGGTCATGTATCATTAGACAATTTTCGATGCCTCTTCAAAATTTCGTAGGAACATGTAAAATGGGGCCTCCCAAAGACCCTGAGTCAGTTGTAGATAATAGTTTACGAGTATATGGCACAACGAATTTCAGAGTAGTTGATGCATCAATAATGCCTAAAATAACTAGAGGTTCGACTTCAGCACCAGTAATAATGATAGCGGAAAAGGCTAGTGATTTAATAAAAAGTGTTTGGTACTTAAACTAGATATTTTATTTACAAAACTTAATATGTGTCATAACTATTGTTTTCGTAGTCACCGTCTACTATAGTAGTTTGAATTACCATTATTTTCTTTCCAGTCTTTTAATATTAATTTTGCTCCTTTCTCAGCAATCATAACAGTCGGTGCATAAATTCCGCCTCTTACATGAGTTGGCATAACTGAAGCATCCATTATTCTCAGTCTTTCCAATCCATGTACTCTTAGATTAAATGTAACTACAGCATTTGTACTATTATAACCCATTCGACAAGTACCGATTGGATTGCTCATAGCTTTAGTATAATGTCGTGCAATGCAATTCCACTGGTCTCGATTGTGTAATCTATCGCATGGAAATAAATCTATAGGTGCTAGTTTTATCTCTGCCCTCTTCATTTCGTTGGTATTTAATAGCTGAAGCGCGACATCAATACTATCTACTATGGCATCTAGATCATGTGAATCTTTAAGTAAATTAGCTTGTATAACAGGCCGGCCATACTTAGGATTCCTTTTATTTAAAGTAATTTTCCCCACACTTTTAGGTTTTAAAAGTACTGGATTTACTAGAACTAAATTATAGTAAGCCAATGGCATATTTGTTTCTTCTGCAGTGTGTATACTTATATTAGTCAACATAAATTTGTCGCTTCTAACATAGTTGCCTTCCAAAGACAGCTCTACATCTGGTGCAACTTTATTTTCAAATAATTGAATGAAAGCCGATATTTGGTTTATTCCACGTGAAGCTAACGGTCCGTTTCGGTTTTGAAACCAAGTTTTAAAATCTTCAACAATTTCTGGCTGACCAACGGTTGCGACTTCTCCCATTGTAAACGCTAATCCACCCGTAGATACCTGATCTTGGTAATTAAGACCCACAGGTAGGTTAATTAATGTTGTAATATTATGTTTAGCCAATTCATCTTTCGGTCCAATGCCAGATAAATGTAAAATCCTGACATTGTTTACAGCTCCAGCAGTCAATATTACCTCTCTTTTAGCATAAGCTGGCTGTTCCTTTCCCTTCTCCACTTCATACCAAACACCTTCTACTATTTTTTCCTGTGGGTCGATCATAATCTTGGTGACTGTTACACCAGTTTTGACAGTGAGATTTTTTCTATGCCGTACAGGTTTCAAGAAGGCGCTATTTGTACTAAGCCTAGTATTATTGGAAATGGTGAACTGATTATTAACAACAGCTTCTGCAATATTGGTGTTTATATCCATTGCTCTTAGGCCAATTTCACCAAAAGCGCCCATAAATACTTCCATATATCGGTCGGTGTGTTTGAACTTTTGGACGTGCATTTCACCCCCACGTGCATGATAGTGAGAGTTCATTAAAACGTCATAGTCACCTGAAACATTTTACAAAAAAACATTTATTGGCAAAATTTATTTTAATAATAATGTTTTATTTTAGTAGTAATCCATCACTGTACATGGTACTAAAAATAAACATAATACAACTATGACATAATTCAAATGTTTTAAAATAAACACGTAATAAACTACGCAACTGATAAAACAATTCAGAAATTTTCTATATACTGATTCCAAATTCATTCCTTATTAATAAAAACCAAAGAAAAACAAAATATTCTTATTTATGTACTAACCATTATCCTCGGAAGTTTTGAAATGTTCCAATAAGTTTTCAAATTTCCACTCCAACGATCCGATTTCTCCATTCGTATGCCACGAGTCGTAATCTTTCTTACAACCTCTTGTATACTTCATATCATTTGTCACACTGGACCCTCCCAACACTTTTCCAGTTTTTACTTCACAGCTCCCACCTGGACGGGATAAGCACGAATAGGCGTTTCGTTCAGTTCTGTAGTTCCATAATATTGGCCTGAAGTCTTTGGTTGGTACACCTGGTATATCATAGTCTATATTTTCTTCCTCGCCAGCTTCCAAAACTAATATCTGAAATACCGAAATTAATACAATATTTGCGGAAGTAAATAATTTTGTATCAATATATAAGGCTATATAATACAAAAAAAAGGTTTTATTCACAAATACACACTTTTTGTTGTTAGGTCTAGTTAGCCTAGCCTAAAAAATTGAACTTTTTATATCATGTAATATACACACATAAAAAGTTAAATTTTTTTATTTATACTTTACACAGATATATAATAATAATATACATATAATAGTTACGATTATGTCTATGTAATGCAGCATGTATTTTAAATCTTTTTGTAAGTGATTAAATTTAATTTCATGTACGTACTTATTACTTAGACAGCTAAAATAAATTTAATAAAAATCTTTTTTACATTAAAACTAAATTCTTTTCCTCGGCTTTTTCATAATGAGTGTATACTTGTTAAACAGTATAATAATTACTGGTTTAGTTTTACCCCGTTAACTAATACGAATGCATTTAAAACCAAATTTTATATTACCTTCCATTCCGGTATCGCAGAGAGTCTATTGGCGAGGACACAGCCAGCAGTGCCTCCTCCAACAATAATGAAGTCATACACACTGTTCTTTACATCTTTCTCATCAGCTCGTGTCCTGGTTGCCTTGCTGAAGAGATCTCCTTTTACCAGAGACAGATAGGTGACGAAGAAAAACGAATATCTACAACCATTTTTTTTCCATAACAATTGTAATAGATATATTTATTATTATTAAATAAATCTTAAACTAATGCATTACTGTGGGCCAAGAGATTAGGAATTTGAAAATCAAGTTACATACAAAGTCCAAACGAATAACAACCACGAAAAATTTAAAACCTTAATTCCAAAGCTAAGGGAATCGAACAAAGTTTCACTAAAATAGTTACATTAATATTGAGTAACAAAATTTACTCATTAACAAAGAATATGATACAATATTATAGTGTATAATATTTCTCTGTTCATATATGCATTTACATATAGTGGTAAAATATAATTTAATGCTTTTTAATTGCGACCGTGTAATAGTTATTAAATATTGACCCTTATTATATAATAAACAGTCTCCTTTCTCAACATACAGGCATTTCTTTTATATTTCGGAAATTTTGCCGACATCATAGGATAACGTTAATATTCTAATGTTGAAATAATTTGGAATTGGACAAGTAATTTTTGAATTTATTCGTTACATACAAATCTTTCCAAAATTAACTATAAATATAAAGAATTGCAAACCTCAGTAACATTTTCACAGTCCACACCGACACTAGAAATAAGACTAAACGATAGTGGAAACCAAAAGTTGGTGGAAGTCACGGTTGACTAACCACCGCTGGTAAGGATATGTTGTAATCAAGGATTAAATACAAATAATGTTATATAATTGGCATTTGTCGGCTTTCTCGGAAGATATTGTTACCGTACACGCAACGATAACCTCCAAAACAAATATGCTAGAATACACTAGATAAAGATTCATGGATTGGGCTATACGAGTACACTAAACATCTATAGCATGCCTAACATATATACAAAAATCAATGGCGCTACAACCTCTTTAGCTCTGGCCTCAGATTTCTGAATCTGTTGCATGATCATTTTTCAATCTAATAGGCAAGGAGGTGATCAGCCCCCTGTGCCTGACACACGCCGTCGACTTTTTGTGTTTAATACATGTCGGTTTCCTCACGATGTTTTCCTTCACTGTTCGAGCGAATGTTAAATGCGCACATAGAAACAAAGTCAATTGGTGCACAGCCGGGGTTCGAACCTACGACCTCAGGGATCAGAGTCGCACGCTGAAGCCACTAGGCGAACACTGCTCGCCTACGGCCTACATATATACTAATTTATTTATTACAGAAATACATACATTATCCTTACAGACTATGCCAATACGATAATGTCGAGATATAATTAAATTCAATATAATAAAGTAAATATTATATACTTAAACATATAATATACACAATATCGTTACTGTGAAATCACTCTGGGAACATATAAATATGTTGATAGTGTCTAAGACAGCATTCAGTAGGCGCAACGTCTTTGATAACGAGGATCTAACACACTGGTTCTGGTATCGCAAACAACCTTGGCCTTCGCGATCGCACAAAGAACTCTTTGAACATACATGTGGTATAATAATTAGCGAACTGTGGAATCGACTCCAGGTGGCGGTCTTACCTCAGAGATACGACCTCCAAATGTTTAAAAAGCGAGTGTACTCCTCCCTCAAAGGCCGGCAACGCACCCACTAAAAATGGGTGTCTATGGGCTGCGAAGACTGCCCTTTTTGGTCATCCCGCAAGCTTTATATAAAAAGAAAAAAAGATATCTTGTCTTATTACATTTCCTTAAAATCCCCATAAAATAGATCTGAGCGAGCCTAAATGCCACTAAGATATTACGGAGGAGATAAGAGCCATTCAGGAAATTAAACTGACCACTACTTTATGGTTAGTTTCAACCTATTTGTTGTTTAGCTATTTCGAATTCTCTAGGGAATGTTTAGAAATATCTTGGTTGTTTTTTTACTTGGGATATTGGGAATTGAAATAACATTAACTGTATTTTTATTTGCTTTTATAAACTATACTATTTATAAGAGCTTAGTAACCTACTTCTGTGATGGGTTCGATTCCGGATGAAATAAGAATTATTTCGGTATCGAGTTACATCACATTCTTTCCTCATAATTAATAAAAAAAACAGAAATGGTCACATGCCACATTTGGGTTTCGAAGGAATTATAAACCTTTACGTAATTCAATACAAAATACTAATTAAAGTTTATTTATATCTTACATTTCCTTAATTTGATATGAATATGATGGTCTTACAAGCCAACGATATTAGTAATATTATTTAAAGTTGTATCAGCGCCATCTAGTATTACTTTAATAAAGGTTCATCAGGTCGCAATCGATTTCTAAGTTAACAGCACTACAAATATTCCCTTCACTTGTACTAGAGGGCGCTAGATTTCCCATAAATATCATAAATCAAACAAAATTTGCCAAATTGTAAAATGTATTATTAAAAGCCGTCAGAATAGTTCTGTCATAGATCAGCCTTATGTGCCAGTGCAAAACAATTGTAGTTTCGGCATTCTCCACATTAACCCCTAAACCACTACGGTGAGGTACCACTGACTTATAACAATGATTTTGCAGTATTTGGTACAACCCTACTATTCATTTATTAGAAAAATGATTAACGTAGGGCTGTGCCCGGCAATATATTTACTAGTCAGTAGGGTAGCCAATAATAACGTGAGCGTCGATCATAAATCAGCTGTTATCAACCCTGCAGAAGTTATAGGATTTCCTGGCCGCACTTGCTGCGTTGACTTTTGAACTTGCTAAGTTTCTCTTTATGTTTTGCAAAAATTGATTTTCTTATAGAATTTGATTTTATATAATAGCTAAAAAATATTTATATCGTTTTAAAAAGCCTTAAAGTAATATAATTAAGCATATAAGCAGCAAATAAGTGATATAAGCAAGCAGTATTACAGTATTGGACTAGCGGCTCTTTACCCTGAGAGCGTGTGTTCGAATAACGGCTGTGCACCAATTGTTTTTTCTTTTCATTTAACAGCGATTATCGCTTGTTTGGTGAAGGAACGGATCGTGAGGAAACCGGCATGCCCAAAAATCTACCTGTATCAGGTCATACTGTCTTACAGTCAAATGACACAAGAAAATCCTAAAATAAATAAAATCACAGTAGAACATAACTCTATGTACATATATAACACGTGTGTTAGAAACCTAACTCCTCTAAAACGGCTTGACCGATTATTATAAATTGTTTCTGTCTATTCGGTAGGTCTGAGAATTATTCGTATTTTTTCTATACCCTCAAGTGATAAGGGTAGCTCACAAAATATTTAGTTTTTTTTTATTATTTGGCATTAAAAATACATACAATCCTTTCTTTTTTACCCTTCTACCACCAAACCCCATTTTTGATAGCGATATTAGTACTGTAAAATTCTGAATATAGCAAAACGTATCAGGATTCAGGTAATGTAAAGAATTTCTCTGAAAAGTTGTTGATAACATATTAAATCCTACGAATTTTCCAGATACAGGTTTTTGGTCAACAAACTTTTTATGTAAAGTACATAAAAAGTAGTAAGTAGTAAGTACTGAGTACACTTATGAATAGTAAAGATGTTAAATTGATTCTAAATTTACATTTATTACCAGTCCGCCAGTCAAGGGCGTAGAGCGGGCAAGATGAACTGGCAAGAAACTCTCCGCCACTCTTTTTAATCGCCAAGTTTCGAGTCATACAAATTGTTTGAACTGGAGCAAATCAATTCCAAGGATTACGATTATTGCATATGTTATACTGATTAGTTGCTACCTTTTATTTAGCTTGGCAAATTTTAAACATAAAACATCCAATCATTTGATAACTGTTCTCGTCGTACTATATATTAACTGACGTAGTTAAATGTGCCGATACAGTCAATATAAAACCAATAAACATTAATACAGCAATAATGTACTATAAAACGTACATTAACCAGACGCTTTGGAGTTCCGCCAAACTGCCACAGATCGACGATCCGTCCAGACACCCGCAACCGGGCACTTTGAAATGAAATATTATCTATAAACTGGTGGCTATAATCTGCATCTGTGATATTAAGACAAACGTATCTTTTACGGCTTTCAGTATTCAAGATTCCTTAATTTATTTTCATGAGCTGTGTTGGCCTAGTGGCTTCAGCGTGCGACTCCCTTCCCTGAGGTCGTAGGTTCGATCCCCGGCTGTGCACCAATGGACTTTCTGGCTATGTGCGCATTTAACATTCGCTCGAATGGTGAAGGAAAACATCGAGAGAAAACCGGCTTTAGATCCAAAAAGTCGACAGCGTCTGTCAGGCACGGGAGGCTGATTTGCCTATTAGATTGACAAATGATCATGGAACAGATACAGAAATCTGAGGCCCAGACCTAAAAAGGTTGTAGTGCCACTGATTTATTTAATTAATTAGTTTTTGTTATAGAATTTTCCCTTACAAACGCGCACTTCCTAAAGGTAAGCAAATGCATTGCCGGCCTTTAAATAATACGCTTTGTTCTTCAAGGAATCTTCGTATTAGTTCGGTTTTTTTTTCAGGCAGCTGGTTTCACATAGAAGTGCTTATCATTACTTTGACACATGAATCAGGTGTGTCAGGTGACAATAAAAAAAAAATCATCAGCGGTTAAGGGAATTTATTCAGAAATATACAAGAAATAGATAAGTTAGTTTTTGCGTAATACTGAACTAAAAACATTTTGATTACAATGTAATAGTAAGAACACAGATACAACTTATATAATGGGCTTTACATTTAGTCGTAAATTCGAGTGACTGGTCCGAGCTGGTCATTAGTCGTGGACCGGGGCCGAATCCCGGATAAGATCGGGCCAGCACTGATAAGCCGCGCCTTAAGACAATTGGAGATATAAAATCCACAGACTTCTCTCGCTTTCATTTATTAAAGAGGGTTCTTAGGCTATTTTCTACGTAACTCAATAGGTAATGTATATGTTATAGCGAGATAAAGAGTATATACTATATATATCTTAAATATTAGTGATTCCAGCTTAATGCAACAAATATATACTTTACGATATCAACCTCATTTATAGACTATTATAAGAAAAATTATGTAAGTTTGTAAAAGAAAGTTTTGAATTCCACAGAAAGTGGTACACTCAGATATTTAAACGCACAATATATAAAAATAGGCATGCATTTGTCATATTAATACTGATCATGTCATAATAATAGCAGTTAAGATATTTATAATTGTTGTCAAAACTTCTGGTCTAATAAAAGGCACTAGTTGAAAGCATTACACGGCAGTGATCTGTAACTTCTGGGAAGGTGATTGAGTTTGATGACCGGGTCAATTTTTAAATACATAGTGTTGCAACATGCAGAAAATTATATTTTTAATTATTAATATAAACCCAACATATATGCAAGCAAACGTCTTCACTTCGAAATAATAATACGTTATTGTATTTTTCACTTATAAAATAACTGTTTTACGTTCTACGTTATAACAAGATCTATACAACGTCTTAAGGGACAGCCAGACAAATCACGTCCGATCATTCAGAGCGATAAAGCGCTGTTACACAGCTGTCACTAGTGGAGTTTGGGACGTTCGGGGCACGGATTTTGGGACGCGGGATTAACCCGGGATTATTGCCCTCAGGTGTTGCGCGTT